AACCTGTCGTCACGACACAAACTACACGGACATTGCAAGCAATAAACAACAAATATCAAATGGATTCAGTGGCCATATATATTGTTTAATAGGGTATCAAATCACTATTATACAGTGATAGGAACCAAGCTCTTAGGGATTTTCCAGTGTGGTCCAAATTGTCAGTGGCACACGATGGAGAGTCTGGGAAGGACAGTATCTAATAGTTTGGGTGGAACATGCATGTAAAAGAACCCTTAACAGTTGAAATTCGAAATAAAAGTATGGGAAGGACAGTATCTAATAGTTTGGGTGGAACATGCATGTAAAAGAACCCTTAACAGTTGAAATTCGAAATAAAAGTATGGGAAGGACAGTATCTAATAGTTTGGGTGGAACATGCATGTAAAAGAACCCTTAACAGTTGAAATTTGAAATAAAAGTTGGCATTATCATCACGGTCCGGGCAAAATTTCCTTCATGGCACACTGTACGGCGTAAAACGTTAAACCCCATTTCATTTCTAAGCTCAAGCAATCCTTGATAGTAGAAAATTCTCAATACAAACACCACCTCAAGACATTCACCTAATAAACATCAACCTCAATAGGAACGTTTTTAAATTCCATAAATTTGACCAGCCAATCACATATCACCACTTAGTCTAAGCAGTCAAGGTATTGATGTAATGAAACTATAATCTGAGTTTCAGTCTCGACCAATCTAATTGCTTATCTGTGCTTAAAGATGCATTATGTAAGATTTAGAAGAGAGCTGGACGTTCTTGTTATAATAGTTCAAAAATAAATAATGAAAAATGAATATATTGAAAATGTCATTCAAATTACTTAATTCTGAGCAAGTATGACTGAGTCTCGATGTTTATTTCCATTTAAATCTCAGCCATCTGATGGTCTACAGAATTGATTATAGGCCTGTTAAGTTGATTTATGTCTACATAATAATATGATATTTTAAACCAAAAGAAAGACCTCACTGTAATAGGCTGATTTAGCTCTTACATAATGCATCTTTAACCTTAACTCCGTCAAGTATTTCACATAATTAAACACATACATCAAGTTTGAACAGTGTGTTCCAACGACTCGACCAATCAGACTGAAGTCTATATTTAACCTCATATCAGTAGAATATGTTTATTGGTGAATAGAAAGTGTCCACCAAGTTTCACACATCTAACACAAAAAGAATCGAAATTGTCGAGCTCCAGCGTATTATTCTGCTTACAGTGAACAGTTTCACATCTCTCACCTCACTCAAATATAACGGAAGTTATCGAGCTCTACAGTCAAATTGCCTATTGCTCTAATTAAGCTGAACAGAACATGGTCATGATCGAATTTAGTCAACGTATTGATGTAATGAATCTATAGACCCGAGTTTTATCATTCTCACTTAATCAGAATTAAAGTTATCGTTTCCCAAAGCGTCAATCAATCATACTACTTGACCTAGAGTGTGATCTTTCCCAGATATAATAAATTGTATGGCAAATACCCTTTACCAGTTCGTGGTGCATATTTATGGAATGAGCTTCCCCGACAGATGCACACAACATCTCTATTTTCAAGTTTTAAGTCAATTGTTAACTTATGGTTTCTCTTATTATTGTTCAATGTACCTATATATAACACTGTCACAGTTTTTTCCTCATTTGTAATTTTGTATGCTTGATAAAGACCAGTGAATTCTTGTCGAAACCTCGTGTGTATATAATATAGTGATTGTTATCCATAGAACTGTGTTGTGTTATATTATGTTCAATCGCCAAATGCCATTCAAAGATTATAAAGACACATCTGTTTAGCAAATATTTGTGAAAGAACAATAGTTGAACTCACTGTGAAGCACTTAGAAATGACCAGCGGACATAATTGAGCGCGATATAAGACGATTTCTTCTTAAAATTATTAGTATTATTATTGTTATTATCAGACAGAAGTCTTTACTTAGCCTCAATAGAAAAAGACTATTAGTGAATAGAAAATATCCACAAAGTTTCACACTCCTAACTCAAATAGAATCGAAGTAGTCGAGCTCTAAAGTCTTGCAGTAATTCAAGTTGCTTATTGCTCTGCTTACACTTAACAGTTTGACCCCGTTCACTCAAATATAATCGAAGTTATCGAGCTCTAAATTCAAATTGCCTATTGCTCCAATTAAGCTGATCAGAACATGTTCATGTTCGAACTTATTCAACGTATTGATGTAATAAATCTATTGACCCAATTTTTATCATTCTCAATTAATTAGAATTAAAGTTATCGTCTCCCAAAGCATCAATCAATCATATCGCTTGACCTGAGCAGAGTGTGATCGATCATCTTTGGCCTACATCAAGGCATTAACTTCATAAGTATATACACCATGTTTAAACATTCTACCTCAATTAGAAGAGGGAGCTCTGCACACAAGCAATAAACAACAAATATCAAATCCGGTGGAAAATGGCCATCGTCGGACTCAGTCAAGTCATTCACATAATTAAACACATACGTCAAGTTTGAACAGTGTGTTCCAACGACTCGAACAATCAGAATGGATTCTATATTTAACCTCAGTAGAATGTGTTTATTGGTGAATAGAAAGTGTCCACCAAGTTTCACACATCTAACACAACAGAATCGAAGTTGTGAGCTCCAAAGTCTTGATATTTCAAGTTGTGTATTACTCTGCTTACAGTGAACACTTTCACCTCTCTCACTGAAACATAACGGAAGTTATCGAGCTCTACAGTCAAATTGCCTATTGCTCTAATTAAGCTGAACAGAATATGCTCATGTTCGAACTTGGTCATCGTATTGATGTAATGAATCTATAGACCCGAGTTTTCTCATTCTCACTTAATTAGAATTAAAGTTATCGTCTCCCAAAGCATCAATCAATCATACTATTTGACCTAAGCAGAGTGTGATCTTTGATCTACATCAAGGCATTCACTTCATAAATATCTAAACCATGTTTAAACATTCTACCTCAATTAGAAGGGAGAGGAGGGGGGGGGGGGCTCTGCACACAAACCAAACAAAACCGAAAACACAAACCTGCCGTCACGACACAAACTACACAGACATTGCAAACAAATCACGTGAATGGATTCAGTCGCCATATGTATTGCTTAATAGATTGTCAAACCACTAAAATCCAACGATAGGAACCATTCTAGACGAGAAAGCTTCTACGGATTTTCCGATGTGATCCCCGTTGTCAGTGGCACATGATGGAGAGTCTGGCAAGGACAGTATCTAATTGTACATGTAAAATAAACCTTAACCGTTGGAATTCAAAGTAAGAGTAGGCAGTAGCACCAGCGTCCGGGCAAAATTTCCCTCATGGCGCATTGTATGGCGTGCAACGTTAAACCCTATTTCATTTCTAAGCACGGGTGATTCTTGAAATCCATTTAATTATATTTATTCCGCAGTTGTAACATTGGTTGGAGGATCAAATTCTATGGAAGGACGAGTGATGGTATGGCACAACGGCTCATTTGGAAGAGTTTGTCCTGATGGTTTTGGACAGGAAGAAGCTCATGTAGTGTGTCGTCAATTAGGATTTAACAAGTATGAATCTACAATGTCTTCTAATTCTATATAAAAGATAACGATAATTTTTACCACTACGTCTTTTAATTAAATTCCCACCATTCAATTCGTTACATACATATATTTTGGACTTTGATCAACTGATTTTTTTATATGTCGGTTTGTTATATCGGTCAAAAATCAGTAGATAAAACCAATGAGGGATATAACTGATTGGGTGTTCAACAGTCGACAGATAAAAACATTTCTACCCAATTCATTGTGTGTATTATCTTTCTATTTAATCTTTCCTGATATTAATGTTAATATTATAATCAACATTTTGTGTATAATCTTTCTATTTAGCAATGAAGGCGTTGATCCTGATATTAATGTTGATTTTGGTAAAGGGTCAGGTCCCATTCTGGTATCTAATATTAATTGTAAAGGAAATGAGTCATCTTTATCCAACTGCAAACGTCCAGAATTCAGAATCGGAGAATGCAGTGGCACATCTGATGTCTCGGTCGTTTGTAAATGTAAGTCTATAGAAACAGTAACCAGTCATTCTTACAGGACATATATTAACAATCTGTTTGTATATCGGTCCTTTAATTTAAACTAAAGATATTACAAGACTCGTGTTAAAGTTAGATTGATCACTACATACACATGAAGTCGATGACCTTGTTCAAAAAAATAATTAAACGATCGAGACAATTTGATAATAGCCCCTGCATTTTAACATTGTAAAGGAAATGAGTCATCTTTATCCAACTGCAAACGTCCAGAATTCAGAATCGGAGAATGCAGTGGCACATCTGATGTCTCGGTCGTTTGTAAATGTAAGTCTATAGAAACAGTAACCAGTCATTCTTACAGGACATATATTAACAATCTTTTTGTATATCGGTCCTTTAATTTAAACTAAAGATATTACAAGACTCGTGTTAAAGTTAGATTGATCACTACATACACATGAAGTCGATGACCTTGTTCAAAAAAATAATTAAACGATCGAGACAATTTGATAATAGTCCCTGCATTTTAACATACATGAAAGGGGTTTTAGTTTATTATTTTTGATATATATATCTATGATCGTCCTTCGTCATTTAGTAACGTGGCCTATATTAAGTCCAGATTTCAATCTTAAAGAATCTGTTTGGATAAGATGAAAATAAGAGATCAAATAACATACAAGATACATTGTATATTAATCCGTCAGTAGTTACACACCTGGGTTATGTGTAGGGTATTCCTAGTTTGTGTCGAGTATACTAGACGATATTGACTTTCAGACTTATTTACAAAGGGAAATTATAAAGTTACCGTAAAAACGTTTTGAAAAAAATCATGTTCAAGTAAGAATTAATATTGAAATAACCCATTTGCGTTTTCCTTAGCCCTCCGTCGATATTTTTAGTTAGATTTGGGCAATATGTTCTCTAACAGTCAGTCAACTGGTTATTTCAGTTGTTCCAGTGCGACTAGTAAATGGATCAGGGTCACATGAAGGAAGAGTGGAGGTGTTTGATAGAAGAGAATGGAAAACAGTTTGTGATGATTATTGGGACGATAAAGATGCATCTGTGGTTTGTAGACAACTAGGATATAGTGGGTAAATATACGAAACGGAATAATATATACGCTTTATACAATAAAACAATCTTAATACAGTAACTGGTGCTGTACTTGAATTAAAATATTGCCATATTTGGCTGTAATAAATGTTATTGTATTTGTGCGAATTAGTACACGAATATATAGTTATATATTAATTCAGTGTAGTTTTGTTTGCATTAAATAGTTGAACGTATAATATTATGTTTAGGACAGGAGCAATAAGTAAACACCGCGCCTACTTTGGAGAGGGACGTGGCAACATAGTGACCCAAGTACAATGTAATGGAAATGAAGAGTATTTTACTGACTGTAAATATAGTTCTGTTAGCTCGTGTGGCCATAATAGAGACTCTTCTGTAATTTGTAAAGGTAAGATTATATTAAAAGTATTGTGGAGATATGTCAGTGGTGCAGGACGGGGGACCTGACAATGACAGCTTGTTCATTCGGTTCGAATGATACACTAAATCGAGGTCCCGTGTACACATTGGCGTGCACGTAAAAGATCAGCTGGCAGTTGGAATTCGATATAATAGTAGGCCAAAGAGCCGCTGTCCGGGCAAAATTCTCTCATAGCATACTATATGGCGTGCGCCCGTCTCCATTAGCCCAGTCGAAGCATAACAGTAAGAAGTTAAACCCCATTTCGTTTTAGGGAATTAAGTGCTTACTATACATTATAGGTATACTACCGGTATTTGTTTCATGACCCACATCCCCAAGCCACGTTGAATACCAAACTTAATTATAAGTTAGGATTATATATACATAACGGGTGTCAACACAATCAACTAATGGATATCTACACCAAGGTTGAACATTCTACACCAAGTCTGAACATTCTACCTCGATTAATAGCAGGGTTGTTATGTTCTAAATTCTTGACCAATCCAATCGCTTACATTATCCTACTTAGCCTAAGTAGAAAATTCTCACCGAACTTAGTCAAGGTGTTAATGTATTAAGGTGTTACAGCCCTCTCACTCGATCAGAATTGATGTGTTCTTGTTTCAAAGTCTGAACCTATCGAATTGCTTATATTTAGTTAACTTTAGTGGCAAATGGTCATCATCGGACTCTGTCAAGGTATGTTAATAACACAAACACCAAGTCAAGACATTCACCTAATAAACATCAACCTCAATAGGAACGTTTTTAAATTCCATAAATTTGACCAGCCAATCGCATATCGCCACTTAGCCTAAGCAGTCAAGGTATTGATGTAATGAAACTATAATCTGAGTTTCAGTCTCAACCAATCTAATTGTTTATCTGTGCTTAAAGATGCATTATGTAAGATTTAGATAAAGAGCTGGACGTTCTTGCTATAATAGTTCAAAAATAAATAATGAAAAATGAATATATTGAAAATGTCATTCAAATTTCTTAACTCTGAGCAAGTATGACTTAGTCTCGATGTTTAATTCCATTTAAATCTCAGCCATCTGATGGTCTATAGAGTTGATTATAGGCCTGTTAAGTTGATTTATGTCTACATAATAATTAATATGATATTTAAAACCAAAAGAAAGACCTGACTGTAATAGGCTGATTTAGCTCTTACATAATGCATCTTTAACCTTAACTCCGTCAAGTATTTCACATAATTAAACACATACATCAAGTTTGAACAGTGTGTTCCAACGACTCGACCAATCAGACTGAAGTCTATATTTAACCTCATATCAGTCGAATATGTTTATTGGTGAATAGAAAGTGTCCACCAAGTTTCACACATCTAACACAAAAAGAATCGAAATTGTCGAGCTCCAAAGTATTGCTATTTCAAGTCGCGTATTATTCTGCTTACAGTGAACAGTTTCACATCTCTCACCTCACTCAAATATAACGGAAGTTATCGAGCTCTACAGTCAAATTGCCTATTGCTCTAATTAAGCTGAACAGAACATGGTCATGATCGAATTTAGTCAAAGTATTGATGTAATGAATCTATAGACCCGAGTTTTATCATTCTCACTTAATTAGAATTAAAGTTATCGTCTCCCAAAGCATCAATCAATCATACTACTTGATCTAAGCAGAGTGTGATCGATCACCTTTGGTCCACATCAAGGCATTCACTTCATAAATATCTACACCATGTTTAAACATTCTATCTCAATTAGAAAGGGGGGGGGGGGTGAGGGGTGCTCTGCACACAACCCAAACAAAAACCAAAAACACAAACCTGTCGTCACGACACAAACTACACGGACATTGCAAGCAATAAACAACAAATATCAAATGGATTCAGTGGCCATATATATTGTTTAATAGGGTATCAAATCACTATTATACAGTGATAGGAATCAAGCTCTTAGGGATTTTCCAGTGTGGTCCAAATTGTCAGTGGCACACGATGGAGAGTCTGGGAAGGACAGTATCTAATAGTTTGGGTGGAACATGCATGTAAAAGAACCCTTAACAGTTGAAATTCGAAATAAAAGTATGGGAAGGACAGTATCTAATAGTTTGGGTGGAACATGCATGTAAAAGAACCCTTAACAGTTGAAATTCGAAATAAAAGTATGGGAAGGACAGTATCTAATAGTTTGGGTGGAACATGCATGTAAAAGAACCCTTAACAGTTGAAATTTGAAATAAAAGTTGGCATTATCATCACGGTCCGGGCAAAATTTCCTTCATGGCACACTGTACGGCGTAAAACGTTAAACCCCATTTCATTTCTAAGCACAAGCAATCCTTGATAGTAGAAAATTCTCAATACAAACACCACCTCAAGACATTCACCTAATAAACATCAACCTCAATAGGAACGTTTTTAAATTCCATAAATTTGACCAGCCAATCACATATCACCACTTAGTCTAAGCAGTCAAGGTATTGATGTAATGAAACTATAATCTGAGTTTCAGTCTCGACCAATCTAATTGCTTATCTGTGCTTAAAGATGCATTATGTAAGATTTAGAAGAGAGCTGGACGTTCTTGCTATAATAGTTCAAAAATAAATAATAAAAAATGAATATATTGAAAATGTCATTCAAATTACTTAATTCTGAGCAAGTATGACTGAGTCTCGATGTTTATTTCCATTTAAATCTCAGCCATCTGATGGTCTACAGAATTGATTATAGGCCTGTTAAGTTGATTTATGTCTACATAATAATTAATATGATATTTAAAACCAAAAGAAAGACCTCACTGTAATAGGCTGATTTAGCTTTTACATAATGCATCTTTAACCTTAACTCCGTCAAGTATTTCACATAATTAAACACATACATCAAGTTTGAACAGTGTGTTCCAACGACTCGACCAATCAGACTGAAGTCTATATTTAACCTCATATCAGTAGAATATGTTTATTGGTGAATAGAAAGTGTCCACAAAAAGAATCGAAATTGTCGAGCTCCAGCGTATTATTCTGCTTACAGTGAACAGTTTCACATCTCTCACCTCACTCAAATATAACGGAAGTTATCGAGCTCTACAGTCAAATTGCCTATTGCTCTAATTAAGCTGAACAGAACATGGTCATGATCGAATTTAGTCAACGTATTGATGTAATGAATCTATAGACCCGAGTTTTATCATTCTCACTTAATCAGAATTAAAGTTATCGTTTCCCAAAGCGTCAATCAATCATACTACTTGACCTAGAGTGTGATCTTTCCCAGATATAATAAATTGTATGGCAAATACCCTTTACCAGTTCGTGGTGCATATTTATGGAATGAGCTTCCCCGACAGATGCACACAACATCTCTATTTTCAAGTTTTAAGTCAATTGTTAACTTATGGTTTCTCTTATTATTGTTCAATGTACCTATATATAACACTGTCACAGTTTTTTCCTCATTTGTAATTTTGTATGTTTGATAAAGACCAGTGAATTCTTGTCGAAACCTCGTGTGTATATAATATAGTGATTGTTATCCATAGAACTGTGTTGTGTTATATTATGTTCAATCGCCAAATGCCATTCAAAGATTATAAAGACACATCTGTTTAGCAAATATTTGTGAAAGAACAATAGTTGAACTCACTGTGAAGCACTTAGAAATGACCAGCGGACATAATTGAGCGCGATATAAGACGATTTCTTCTTAAAATTATTAGTATTATTATTGTTATTATCAGACAGAAGTCTTTACTTAGCCTCAATAGAAAAAGACTATTAGTGAATAGAAAATATCCACAAAGTTTCACACTCCTAACTCAAATAAAATCGAAGTAGTCGAGCTCTAATGTCTTGCAGTAATTCAAGTTGCTTATTGCTCTGCTTACACTTAACAGTTTGACCCCGTTCACTCAAATATAATCGAAGTTATCGAGCTCTAAATTCAAATTGCCTATTGCTCCAATTAAGCTGATCAGAACATGTTCATGTTCGAACTTATTCAACGTATTGATGTAGTAAATCTATAGAACCAATTTTTATCATTCTCAATTAATTAGAATTAAAGTTATCGTCTCCCAAAGCATCAATCAATCATATCGCTTGACCTGAGCAGAGTGTGATCGATCATCTTTGGCCTACATCAAGGCATTAACTTCATAAGTATATACACCATGTTTAAACATTCTACCTCAATTAGAAGAGGGAGCTCTGCACACAAGCAATAAACAACAAATATCAAATCCGGTGGAAAATGGCCATCGTCGGACTCAGTCAAGTCATTCACATACTTAAACACATACGTCAAGTTTGAACAGTGTGTTCCAACGACTCGAACAATCAGAATGGATTCTATATTTAACCTCAGTAGAATGTGTTTATTGGTGAATAGAAAGTGTCCACCAAGTTTCACACATCTAACACAAAAGAATCGAAGTTGTGAGCTCCAAAGTCTTGATATTTCAAGTTGTGTATTACTCTGCTTACAGTGAACACTTTCACCTCTCTCACTGAAACATAACGGAAGTTATCGAGCTCTACAGTCAAATTGCCTATTGCTCTAATTAAGCTGAACAGAACATGCTCATGTTCGAACTTGGTCATCGTATTGATGTAATGAATTTATAGACCGGAGTTTTATCATTCTCACTTAATTAGAATTAAAGTTATCGTCTCCCAAAGCATCAATTAGAAGGGAGAGGAAGGGGGGGGGGGCTCTGCACACAAACCAAACAAAACCGAAAACACAAACCTGCCGTCACGACACAAACTACACAGACATTGCAAACAAATCACGTGAATGGATTCAGTCGCCATATGTATTGCTTAATAGATTGTCAAACCACTAAAATCCAACGATAGGAACCATTCTAGACGAGAAAGCTTCTACGGATTTTCCGATGTGATCCCCGTTGTCAGTGGCACATGATGGAGAGTCTGGCAAGGACAGTATCTAATTGTACATGTAAAATAAACCTTAACCGTTGGAATTCAAAGTAAGAGTAGGCAGTAGCACCAGCGTCCGGGCAAAATTTCCCTCATGGCGCATTGTATGGCGTGCAACGTTAAACCCTATTTCATTTCTAAGCACGGGTGATTCTTGAAATCCATTTAATTATATTTATTCCGCAGTTGTAACATTGGTTGGAGGATCAAATTCTATGGAAGGACGAGTGATGGTATGGCACAACGGCTCATTTGGAAGAGTTTGTCCTGATGGTTTTGGACAGGAAGAAGCTCATGTAGTGTGTCGTCAATTAGGATTTAACAAGTATGAATCTACAATGTCTTCTAATTCTATATAAAAGATAACGATAATTTTTACCACTACGTCTTTTAATTAAATTCCCCCCATTCAATTCGTTACATACATATATTTTGGACTTTGATCAACTGATTTTTTTATATGTCGGTTTGTTATATCGGTCAAAAATCAGTAGATAAAACCAATGAGGGATATAACTGATTGGGTGTTCAACAGTCGACAGATAAAAACATTTCTACCCAATTCATTGTGTGTATTATCTTTCTATTTAATCTTTCCTGATATTAATGTTAATATTATAATCAACATTTTGTGTATAATCTTTCTATTTAGCAATGAAGGCGTTGATCCTGATATTAATGTTGATTTTGGTAAAGGGTCAGGTCCCATTCTGGTATCTAATATTAATTGTAAAGGAAATGAGTCATCTTTATCCAACTGCAAACGTCCAGAATTCAGAATCGGAGAATGCAGTGGCACATCTGATGTCTCGGTCGTTTGTAAATGTAAGTCTATAGAAACAGTAACCAGTCATTCTTACAGGACATATATTAACAATCTGTTTGTATATCGGTCCTTTAATTTAAACTAAAGATATTACAAGACTCGTGTTAAAGTTAGATTGATCACTACATACACATGAAGTCGATGACCTTGTTCAAAAAAATAATTAAACGATCGAGACAATTTGATAATAGCCCCTGCATTTTAACATTGTAAAGGAAATGAGTCATCTTTATCCAACTGCAAACGTCCAGAATTCAGAATCGGAGAATGCAGTGGCACATCTGATGTCTCGGTCGTTTGTAAATGTAAGTCTATAGAAACAGTAACCAGTCATTCTTACAGGACATATATTAACAATCTGTTTGTATATTGGTCCTTTAATTTAAACTAAAGATATTACAAGACTCGTGTTAAAGTTAGATTGATCACTACATACACATGAAGTCGATGACCTTGTTCAAAAAAATAATTAAACGATCGAGACAATTTGATAATAGTCCCTGCATTTCAACATACATGAAAGGGGTTTTAGTTTATTATTTTTGATATATATATCTATGATCGTCCTTCGTCATTTAGTAACGTGGCCTATATTAAGTCCAGATTTCAATCTTAAAGAATCTGTTTGGATAAGATGAAAATAAGAGATCAAATAACATACAAGATACATTGTATATTAATCAGTCAGTAGTTACACACCTGGGTTATGTGTAGGGTATTCCTAGTTTGTGTCGAGTATACTAGACGATATTGACTTTCAGACTTATTTACAAAGGGAAATTATAAAGTTACCGTAAAAACGTTTTGAAAAAAATCATGTTCAAGTAAGAATTAATATTGAAATAACCCATTTGCGTTTTCCTTAGCCCTCCGTCGATATTTTTAGTTAGATTTGGGCAATATGTTCTCTAACAGTCAGTCAACTGGTTATTTCAGTTGTTCCAGTGCGACTAGTAAATGGATCAGGGTCACATGAAGGAAGAGTGGAGGTGTTTGATAGAAGAGAATGGAAAACAGTTTGTGATTATCGATGGGACGATAAAGATGCATCTGTGGTTTGTAGACAACTAGGATATAGTGGGTAAATATACGAAACGGAATAATATATACGCTTTATACAATAAAACAATCTTAATACAGTAACTGGTGCTGTACTTGAATTAAAATATTGCCATATTTGGCTGTAATAAATGTTATTGTATTTGTGCGAATTAGTACACGAATATATAGTTATATATTAATTCAGTGTAGTTTTGTTTGCATTAAATAGTTGAACGTATAATATTATGTTTAGGACAGGAGCAATAAGTAAACACCGCGCCTACTTTGGAGAGGGACGTGGCAACATAGTGAACCAAGTACATTGTAATGGAAATGAAGAGTATTTTACTGACTGTAAATATAGTTCTGTTAGCTCGTGTGGCCATAATAGAGACTCTTCTGTAATTTGTAAAGGTAAGATTATATTAAAAGTATTGTGGAGATATGTCAGTGGTGCAGGACGGGGGACCTGACAATGACAGCTTGTTCATTCGGTTCGAATGATACACTAAATCGAGGTCCCGTGTACACATTGGCGTGCACGTAAAAGATCAGCTGGCAGTTGGAATTCGATATAATAGTAGGCCAAAGAGCCGCTGTCCGGGCAAAATTCTCTCATAGCATACTATATGGCGTGCGCCCGTCTCCATTAGCCCAGTCGAAGCATAACAGTAAGAAGTTAAACCCCATTTCGTTTTAGGGAATTAAGTGCTTACTATACATTATAGGTATACTACCGGTATTTGTTTCATGACCCACATCCCCAAGCCACGTTGAATACCAAACTTAATTATAAGTTAGGATTATATATACATAACGGGTGTCAACACAATCAACTAATGGATATCTACACCAAGGTTGAACATTCTACACCAAGTCTGAACATTCTACCTCGATTAATAGCAGGGTTGTTATGTTCTAAATTCTTGACCAATCCAATCGCTTACATTATCCTACTTAGCCTAAGTAGAAAATTCTCACCGAACTTAGTCAAGGTGTTAATGTATTAAGGTGTTACAGCCCTCTCACTCGATCAGAATTGATGTGTTCTTGTTTCAAAGTCTGAACCTATCGAATTGCTTATATTTAGTTAACTTTAGTGGCAAATGGTCATCATCGGACTCTGTCAAGGTATGTTAATAACACAAACACCAAGTCAAGACATTCACCTAATAAACATCAACCTCAATAGGAACGTTTTTAAATTCCATAAATTTGACCAGCCAATCGCATATCGCCACTTAGCCTAAGCAGTCAAGGTATTGATGTAATGAAACTATAATCTGAGTTTCAGTCTCAACCAATCTAATTGTTTATCTGTGCTTAAAGATGCATTATGTAAGATTTAGATAAAGAGCTGGACGTTCTTGCTATAATAGTTCAAAAATAAATAATGAAAAATGAATATATTGAAAATGTCATTCAAATTTCTTAACTCTGAGCAAGTATGACTTAGTCTCGATGTTTAATTCCATTTAAATCTCAGCCATCTGATGGTCTATAGAGTTGATTATAGGCCTGTTAAGTTGATTTATGTCTACATAATAATTAATATGATATTTAAAACCAAAAGAAAGACCTGACTGTAATAGGCTGATTTAGCTCTTACATAATGCATCTTTAACCTTAACTCCGTCAAGTATTTCACATAATTAAACACATACATCAAGTTTGAACAGTGTGTTCCAACGACTCGACCAATCAGACTGAAGTCTATATTTAACCTCATATCAGTCGAATATGTTTATTGGTGAATAGAAAGTGTCCACCAAGTTTCACACATCTAACACAAAAAGAATCGAAATTGTCGAGCTCCAAAGTATTGATATTTCAAGTCGCGTATTATTCTGCTTACAGTGAACAGTTTCACATCTCTCACCTTACTCAAATATAACGGAAGTTATCGAGCTCTACAGTCAAATTGCCTATTGCTCTAATTAAGCTGAACAGAACATGGTCATGATCGAATTTAGTCAAAGTATTGATGTAATGAATCTATAGACCCGAGTTTTATCATTCTCACTTAATTAGAATTAAAGTTATCGTCTCCCAAAGCATCAATCAATCATACTACTTGATCTAAGCAGAGTGTGATCGATCACCTTTGGTCCACATCAAGGCATTCACTTCATAAATATCTACACCATGTTTAAACATTCTATCTCAATTAGAAAGGGGGGGGGGGGGTGAGGGGTGCTCTGCACACAACCCAAACAAAAACCAAAAACACAAACCTGTCGTCACGACACAATCTACACGGACATTGCAAGCAATAAACAACAAATATCAAATGGATTCAGTGGCCATATATATTGTTTAATAGGGTATCAAATCACTATTATACAGTGATAGGAACCAAGCTCTTAGGGATTTTCCAGTGTGGTCCAAATTGTCAGTGGCACACGATGGAGAGTCTGGGAAGGACAGTATCTAATAGTTTGGGTGGAACATGCATGTAAAAGAACCCTTAACAGTTGAAATTCGAAATAAAAGTATGGGAAGGACAGTATCTAATAGTTTGGGTGGAACATGCATGTAAAAGAACCCTTAACAGTTGAAATTCGAAATAAAAGTATGGGAAGGACAGTATCTAATAGTTTGGGTGGAACATGCATGTAAAAGAACCCTTAACAGTTGAAATTTGAAATAAAAGTTGGCATTATCATCACGGTCCGGGCAAAATTTCCTTCATGGCACACTGTACGGCGTAAAACGTTAAACCCCATTTCATTTCTAAGCACAAGCAATCCTTGATAGTAGAAAATTCTCAATACAAACACCACCTCAAGACATTCACCTAATAAACATCAACCTCAATAGGAACGTTTTTAAATTCCATAAATTTGACCAGCCAATCACATATCACCACTTAGTCTAAGCAGTCAAGGTATTGATGTAATGAAACTATAATCTGAGTTTCAGTCTCGACCAATCTAATTGCTTATCTGTGCTTAAAGATGCATTATGTAAGATTTAGAAGAGAGCTGGACGTTCTTGCTATAATAGTTCAAAAATAAATAATGAAAAATGAATATATTGAAAATGTCATTCAAATTACTTAATTCTGAGCAAGTATGACTGAGTCTCGATGTTTATTTCCATTTAAATCTCAGCCATCTGATGGTCTACAGAATTGATTATAGGCCTGTTAAGTTGATTTATGTCTACATAATAATATGATATTTAAAACCAAAAGAAAGACCTCACTGTAATAGGCTGATTTAGCTCTTACATAATGCATCTTTAACCTTAACTCCGTCAAGTATTTCACATAATTAAACACATACATCAAGTTTGAACAGTGTGTTCCAACGACTCGACCAATCAGACTGAAGTCTATATTTAACCTCATATCAGTAGAATATGTTTATTGGTGAATAGAAAGTGTCCACCAAGTTTCACACATCTAACACAAAAAGAATCGAAATTGTCGAGCTCCAAAGTATTGATATTTCAAGTCGCGTATTATTCTGCTTACAGTGAACAGTTTCACATCTCTCACCTCACTCAAATATAACGGAAGTTATCGAGCTCTACAGTCAAATTGTCTATTGCTCTAATTAAGCTGAACAGAACATGGTCATGATCGAATTTAGTCAACTTATTGATGTAATGAATCTATAGACCCGAGTTTTATCATTCTCACTTAATCAGAATTAAAGTTATCGTTTCCCAAAGCGTCAATCAATCATACTACTTGACCTAGAGTGTGATCTTTCCCAGATATAATAAATTGTATGGAAAATACCCTTTACCAGTTCGTGGTGCATATTTATGGAATGAGCTTCCCCGACAGATGCAAACAACATCTCTATTTTCAAGTTTTAAGTCAATTGTTAACTTATGGTTTCTCTTATTATTGTTCAATGTACCTATATATAACACTGTCACAGTTTTTTCCTCATTTGTAATTTTGTATGTTTGATAAAGACCAGTGAATTCTTGTCGAAACCTCGTGTGTATATAATATAGTGATTGTTATCCATAGAACTGTGTTGTGTTATATTATGTTCAATCGCCAAATGCCATTCAAAGATTATAAAG